CAGCAGGAAAAAGTACAAAAAACTTTGAGGATCATGTTTATTTCGGGTGAGCAAGCAAAGAATCCCACATCCTCCTTAGCCTTTTACAGAACTCACTACCCCATTTACTGAAGAGGGAAACTTAACACAGACTAGATGAGTCAGAAATCTGTGACAAACTATGGAAGAGATGCTGTTCTGATATCCAGCAGATGAGCAACATGAGTAAAGGCAACTAACTGTACAATAACAACATTCATTCAAAGGAAACTAGGCCGGGTTAGGAACAGTCTTATTCTTCTTATTATTTATGGTCATCATTGAATATCAGAACTGCTAGACCACACAAACAGGTTTAAGAGACTAGTCAGTGCAGTCACATCTTAGAACAGTGAGGGAAAATTGTTGAACTGCTAAGAGCTCTATGTCCAAGTCTGGCAGACTTGGACTACCAATCATTATTGCCTGTAATCACAGAATGGTCCCCATTTTGTATCCCTTTCTTTCACCATGTCCCAGGTCACAAGAGGCAGGCTACACAGCCAAATCCAGTCAGTTGTCACAAACTGTTCGTCACACCAAGGGAGTTACGCATTTTGAGAGATGAAGATGAGCATGCAGTTTCCACTGACTTTATTTGGAATGGAAGATGCTTAGCAATTCTGAAAGCTTACTGCTGAAACCCTGAAACAGGAAAGATCTCTGCCATGTATGAAGTGTGGTGCAACTAGATTGCTTTTAGATAAACTATGCGTTTTCCCATCCATTTTAGTGTAGAGTCAGTTGACAAGTGAACTAAGTGTTGCAGAAAAATGTACAAACATGCAGTTTTTGCAAGACCTTGGTTCTGCATTACTTTCACTGAATCTCATACTTTGTTCCCTGTGAATAAAAGGGAAAGAAAAGTGCTTGAACTCATTACTGGCAGGGAAGCAACACATTTCAAGTGCTGAAAGAAAAGGCAGAATAAGAGAAGGACCAAAGAGACATGGAAAACTAAAACACTGATGTCTGAGAAGAGAGAATGGAAAGGGATAAAAACTAGAAGATCACATCCACAGAAAATAGTTAGAACCGACTCAAAGCCATATTTTGAAACCAAGTAAGTGTTTTTTTAAAGGGAATAAAAGAATGAAGCTATAATATTGCAATAACACTGCTCCTTGGAGAACAGGAAAACAAAAAAATATAAGGCAGCCATTTTTCCATTACAGCTACACAATTGCAAAGGAGAAGAAGTATTTTGAAATGTTACAGGAAAAAAAATACAAACAGAGGCTACAGGCTAAACAAAAAGTTGGCAATCAATATACACAACTCCAAAATTCTGCATACATGCAGTCATATTAAGCATCCTGTTGCTGATTTTATGAAAAATAAAAGGATATTTCTACAATTTGCTAAAGACCTCATACAACCTTGTATATGGGTGAGCAATACTTTGAAGCAGACGGAGGCACTTTAATAAAGCTTAGCTCCAAGCACCGGCTATTTCCAACTGGGCTGCACTTGGTCCCTTCCAGCCCTAAATTTCTGTCAATCCGTGTGCTGCACTTACCAGACCCGCCCCAGGTGCCACACCTGTTGCTTCTTTCCACTGCCTGACCACCATATGGACAAAGCCCCATGGCTCAGTGGGTTAGATCCAGTTCATGGGCTATGGGTTGCTAATGCCTTTCCCAGCATGATTATATACAGGATTTTATTTTTTATTTTTAAGTAATAAATTGTAAGTAATTTAGCATTTGATTAGTGCAGGGAAAGGAATCTGGTGCCTGTAACAGCCAGACTGGACTTCATGAGCCAGGAGATACCTTCCTATCCTATATGCCTACACTCACATTAAAACATCATAAAGTACGTGCAAGAAATAAAGATAGACAAATTACAGTCCAAGGATCACTAGTGGTCAGCCAAACATCTAGGTATCCAGCAGTTGCTGACTTTTATAGTAACTATCAACACATGCAAGTCTTCAAACAGTAATGTTTGCTATAAGACACAGCAGAGTCCAAGACTCAATTTCTAGAGATGTTTAACCAAGAGAAGGCTCCAGAATACTTCTCTCCTGTTGCTTACAGCATTAAAAACACAACAGTTAAGCCAAGGTATAGAGTCCACCAGAACTGGAAAGGCAATGAACAGTGACAGAGCCAAATAGCAAGAGTGTCTGGGGAAGTCAGAACAGAAGAACTGGAAAGCAACAAGGAAAGATTTTATATTGATAAATGAAACTGGCAGCCAGATAGTAGTAGTAAATGGCAGACATGAAGTAAGTTAACTTGGGTTAATGAAACAGTTTTTCTTATCTTCTTAGTACTGAATGACTACTGCTTGCTTATGAAACAGTAATGTTTTGCTTGGAGAAGAAAATATGGATCTAGAAAGGTGGTAGATTAGGTATCAAAAAGGATCTACTTTGGGAACACCTACACTGTAGATCACAGCTGTAATGCAGACATACCCACACCAGGCTTTAGTTCACTCGCATACAACCAGCACCACAGCTGCAAACAGCCTGAGGCTCAGTGCTAACTGTAAAACTCACTTGAAAAGCTGGATAAGTACTCAGGCTGTTAGCACCCCCAAACCTCTGTGCTGTTGCAACTAGACTGATACCACTAGCAAAGCCAGTTGACGGCTACACTGCAAGGAGTAATAGTCAACCTAAAACAATCATGCTCTGCTGAAATAGGTATTTTACCTATTTTAATTACTCATTAGAAAAATTAAGACAGGCAAGTGTTGTTCTTAAATATTCTGCAATCCAGGGTCGGGTAGTGGATGCAATTCAAATTATTCCCAACTTTGCTAACAGTTTATGTGATCTTGGGGTAAATTACTCTCCCTTTCTCTACATGCTTGTTTCCCTCCCACTTCTCTGTCTCACCTGCATAAACCAAAGGGCCATCTAACTACTGAGTTCTTATCCAGTAATAGCACAATAGGCCAATGACCTTAGGCACTAGTACATTACAAAAAAATGTAGTGTTTAACTTCATTGCAGACTGGTCCGATATTCCTTTAAGCAGCTATCCAAGATTTGACAAATGTGACAGATAGCTTCACAGAAGCATTCCTTTTCTGGTCCCAGAAAAAAAAACAACAAAAAACCAGTTGTAATGGTATACTACTTTTCCTAACTTAGTTTAAGTTACTAAATAGAATCACTGCTTGCTGTACCTGTAGTTTCCTACTACAAAAACAAACATTCACTGTAACAAAACTAAAAGGTATATTTCCCCACTCTTTGCCTACTCAAGCCCAGTGCTCATCACAAAGCAGTACCATTCCCCCACCCTTACAAAGCAGCTTCCACATGTGAAAGACCAATGAAGTGAACCACATGATCAAGTGCTAACTCTCTTCAGAAGAAGTGAATATCAATCATCCAGCATGACTGAAATCACAGGACTAGGTAGCTACCATCATAACATACATTAGGAATCTTACATAAATTGGAAATAGAGACAAACTGCTTAAGGATGAGTATTTGAATACAAGTATAAACAAATTAGTAATGCACAAATTAGGAGAGGGATACCAAGGAATATAAAAGAAAAAAAACCTTGTATACTGGAAGTAACAGGAAGACCAAAAAGTGCAAGGCCCCTTACTAAATGTGAACACTAAATTGAATGGATGGTATAGAGGTCTGTTTAATGCCTTTTTTACTTCACTGCTCACAAAAAGGTCAATTTTCAGATAAAAGGCAGTTAGCAGCAGGGACAGGGGAGGAGATACAGCAGCCTACAGTATGGAAACAAGTTAGAGATTAAAGTACTCAAGGAACTGGCTGATGTACAGTAATCACAGAACCACTGGTTATCATCTTTGAGAACTATGGGATCTTGCTCAATGACAAATGAAAAATACAAGTATGGATACTTACTTTTTTTTTAAAAAAAGGAAGACTGAAGATGCAAAGATTACAGAATGGTCAGTCTAACTTTGACATGTGGAAACATGTTAGAAAATATCATCCAACTAAGCCTAGAAGATAAGACCCTAAAATTTGAACATAATAAAATCAGGAGGACCTTAAAGCCTTGTTATTCTGGAATGAGAATATGCAGTGTTTGCGTATCCTTAGACTGGTGTCTCAGGATCTCACTGGTTTCTGGGTGGAATTCCAAGCAAAGGTTTGGGACCTAGTTTCCTAGGAAATTTCTTCTCTCTCTCTCTGCATCAGACTGATGAGCAGGAGTACTGGAGTTCGAGTTCTCTCAACCTCAGAGAGAGGGCTCCTTGAAAGGGTTATTTATTTACTAACTTCTTCTCCCACTTAGTCAAGGAAAGCTGGGGTTTTTGTTGTACTTCTAGGAAGGCTAACAAATCCCATTTTTCTCCTGTCCTGAGTAAGTCTCAGGAAAAGGGGCTACACTGAAATGGACATATTTGTGAATAGTCCTTTGCTTCTTTACAAGCTTAGTTTGAGATGGTCTTACAACAGAAGCTTGTCCTGCACTCTGAGCACCATTTTAGGAGTCTGACGCAACATATTAACTGGTTATGAGCTGCATGCAATGACTATAACAATTTCCTGAATATCAAAACTAAAATATATTCAACATAGTGAAGCTATTATCAGGAAAAATAGGATAGAAATACCACCTTCCTCTTTTCTTATCCTAAAGAGTGCTCTCTCCAGGTAGCAATTCTGAAATCAGTGTCTCCAGTTTTGAACTGGTTTATTGTAATTTTTTATAAATGCAAATTTTCTTTCATATACATTATCCTCACTGAAAAAAACTGAATCTTTTACATACCATTCTGAAGTCCTCTTCAAACTTGTAAGCCCCACCGCCCGTGGCACAAAGTGTGGTGTGCAAACTGGAGAAGTTCTTTTCACTACCCATCTGTATGAACCTGTGCATGGCACAACTGGGAAAACGGATGAAGTGCAGATTTCCTTTGCGTCCACACACAGTCAAATTTTTCAGTTCAAGATGGACATCACGAATGCCAGTTTTACCATAGGCTGTATTGGAAGTCAAGTACTTCCTAATGCTTTTCAGATTTTCCACCTCTTCCTGTTCTTCTTCTGCTGTAATGTCTTTTGGTTCAAAGTAGACCAGTTTAACCAATGTTCCACCGATATCCATTCCAAACCACGGAAATGCTGAGGGGAGGAGGAGGAGAAGAAAAAGCTGCTATAAATATATATGGGTTTACTATGTTAATCAAGAACAGAATTGAAATTCAAGGTAACAAAATTTACACGACTGAGGTTTTGAGCACAAGGATCACTGGTGACCTGCCCACCTATTTGCAGGTACTGGCACCTAAGAATATGGCCTTATAAATTTTCCAAGTTACAAACAAAAATTCAGGCAAACTGAGCAACCCTTCATGCAAACAGAAAAACAAACTGTTTTGGTTTTACAAGAATATAATCCAACATAAGAAATAGATCATTAAATGTTTTTGCAAGAAAACATCTCTTTATTGGCACTACAGATATCAACTCTTCACAAAGAGCGTTTATTCAGTTACACTGAATTTGAGTCTTATCCTTTTCAAAATTGGTTGAAGGCAAAATGGAAAAGGAACAAGAAAAAAAATAAGTTTCCCAAGTCACCCGTTCCTCTACTCCTTGTCTTATTCTGCTCTTTATTCAGAAAAATCACTTCCCAAAAATAGTGTCTACTCACATATCTACCTTCAACAAGAATTAAGATGTGCTCCCAGTATACATACAGATATGGCACTTTTTTCACCCTTGACACACAAGAAAAAAACAACACCCTCCCCCTCCAATATCTTCACTAAATGTGGAAGATTTAAAGACTTTAAAGGAAGAAACAATTGGTGACGCTATTTCGGTGTTTTAAAAAATCTATTCCACACCAACTTCCTGGGCACAGATTGTGTACACCAGGGCCGATAGGTACAATGGAAATTACACTATTCCCATAGTAGCTCATCTTGCCTTTCTCCTCCAGCATACTCATTTATGATAAAAGCTTTGCTTTTTCAACAGCAAAAAAGAAGCTATTTGGCGGAGATGCCTATTTATTTATGGAGAGGAATTTCCATGTTACCCCTCTAAAACACATTTGTAAGTACTAAGCATTTAATATGGTTATTTTTGTGCTTTGGGAGAACTGCCACCTCTCTCTATACATAGTGGTGACTGGTGAGGGCACACTTTGCCTGTTAAGTTTCTACTTCCAAGCCCAAATCACCTGACATCTCTACACCTTTTCTTACAAACTAACGTCCCTATCAAGAACACCCCACACCTCAAGCAGATGCAGAAACCAACGCATTTATTTAATAAAATTCGGTCCATGAAACCCAATCAACTTTCAAATAAACTCGTATCAGCTCCCTTTCACGTATCAATGCCCTCCCTGTTTTTAAATCCTTCGAGTCACATTTCTACCAAACGAGGCAACTGTAACACTCCTTACTCAAGGCATTTCTATAAATTTTTCCTTGCATCAACCAGAACGTCTCATGGTTGTCATGGTGGCTCTCTCTAGACTTAAACCAGAACACTGGTGACCCACGCTCTGAGGGTGGAAACAGTCCAAACAGGTTTTTTTTTTTCTTGGTGAATGTCCTACACCTATGAGGACAAACTCTGTAAACTGACCTAAGCTAACAAAATGATCTAATGAGCAACATCAGCCCTACCTTAATGTCTCACCAAGAACCACACATTAGACAGACAAGACACCAGGGATAAGCTTGGAGAGAGGTGACCGACTGCTGACATTTGGGCAAATACAGAAACAATGTTATGCATCCAGATTTTAGTAAAACACAGAAAACCCAAGACTTTCATCAAGGTGTCATGGCCTACCTCAGCCTGAACTTCATTTTGTCTGACTAGATGACCTAATTAATGGCCAAGTACAGACATTCGGGGAATGTTAGGGGGAGGTTCAATTGGTTCCAAATGGCTACACAATATCAGGTAAGTCAGGATAGGGGGTTAACAGGCTAGAGGGAACCGGGGGTCTGCCAGGCAATTGGGGGGTGGGGGTGGGGGTTGGCAACAAAACCTATGGGTGGGGTGGAGGAGATCCCCTCCTAGCAAACCTACACCTCCATCCCTCCCACCACCCGGACTTACTTGCTCAGCTCCAGCAGTAGCTAACGCTGGGAAAAGCAGCTGAACCCAGAGCAGCTTGTCGGATAGGGGTTGAGAGGACTAGCTGACTGGGGCAGGGAGCCGGGAGTAAAAAGAGCAGCCTTGGAGCTGGGGCCAGTGGCTGGGTTTTCCCAGCCCCAGGGCTGTGCAGGGAACATGTACAGAAGTTCCATGCACTGGTTTGATGCAAGTCAAATAAGTTTGATACTACACAGATCCCGGTTTATCTTAAACTGGGTTCTGCAATTTTTAGACTGGTTTGTATGTATAGAACTTCTGTACAGTTACAGGTTTAGACTGACTGCCAATCACTGAGACTGAGTCTGTAAGTGTAAGGTCAGTACCGGGATGAGGTAAAGTCAAATCAGGTGGCCATTTTCGACTCAACTTAACCTCCCCAAATGTCTGTACTTAGCCAATCTCAACAATTTTAACAGCTTTAAAATCTACAAAGCCACTTTTGGAAGCATTTTTATACAGTAATAATTCACCTTCATGGCATGTGATATAGTAGTTCCATTAAATATGCCTAATTGGATACTGCCCTTCAATCCACATGCAAAGCTGTGGAAACTCTTCAGTGGAGCCTGATTTTCCTGGAAGCTGTGTCCTGTGGATGTATATGAAAGCTTCCCATATAAGATGTTGTATACCAAAAAATCTAGAACTTTGGTTTATTTAAAAAATAAAACTAAAAATCCCTGAGCATAGGGTCCTGAGCACATAAATTTAACATTTCTATGAAAGGCAGTGTAAATAGTAATAGCCCACGCTACACTGTGCTACAACACAGTAAAGCTCAGGACATTCACCTCATTATTAATTTGTACTAATTTTTGTTTAAATTGCAGAGAACTTTAATGACATGGCACATCAAGAAAAATTCACACTGAGTGATTTGGTTAACTAATTAGGTGAACAACATAAAAAGCACCATGATCAACCTATGCAATATAGAATACAGGTAAATTATAAACTTAACTAGCACAACATACACTATGCACTAACTAGCACAGATATCCATGCAGGTAAACTCAGTTAAATTAATGCGTTCTAAATACTATTAAAACCAATAACGAAACTTCTTTAGTTTCAGATTTTCATCTGTGCTACCACGTGCAACACATCATATAGAAGTATACACACATAGTAAAAAGAATAAATTAGGAGACCCCCTGCAAAGGCAAAAACACGCACATTCAGATGCAAGTTACTGCTCTATCAACAACTCACCCATCTATGCCCTACATCTCAGAAGAAAAATCTCTCATACACCAGCTCCTAGTGAGCATGATGGGGGGGCGCGCGCACGTGCATATTAGGAGAAGAACAAACTCTAAATATGCTATCAAAAGCCAAGTCTGAACAGCATTGTATGAAGGCATATTCTAAGAGTTTAAAAAAGTCGCAGTAAAATAGTTTAGCTTTTTGTATTTATATAAATTCTTTCAAATTTGTTACAATATCATAGTACACATTCATAAAGAAACAAATAATTCTTCCACTCTTACATAATGACTGCAACAATTTCCTAAATTTCAAATTCAGTATTATGCAGCAAGAGTTGTGCATGAAAATCTAGACAGGTGTTTTATGATCCAACTGCTGTTATTAGCAGGTATCCTAACATTTAATCCAGTACCAAGGACTAATCAGCGCATAGTAGCAACCTGCCACACCCATGCAGATCCGGGGCACACGTGTGTGTCCCCCCCCGGGGTGCGGACAGCAGCAAGAGCCCCCCACCAGAGCCGCAGCTCCATCCCATGCCCTTCCCCGCACCAGCCCCACTCCCTTCCTCACTGCAGAGGCCTCTATCTCCCCCCCCCTGCCCTTCCACCACACCAGATTTACCAGCTGCACGCAGCTGCATCGGAAATCAGATCAGTATCAGCCATTATGCCTCCTTAAAAATCGGCTATTGGTATCAACCGCAAAAATCTGCATCGGTGCACCCCCAACTAGAACCGATGGCCTCGAGCTGCAGTGGAGGAAATTTAAGTTGGAAATTAGGAGGAGCTTTCCGACTACAAGGGTGGCCAAGCACTGGAATAGGTTACCCAGAGAAGTGGTGGAATCTCTACTCCAGGAAATTTTCAAGAGCAGCTGAACAGACAGCTGGGATGGTTTAGTCAGGGATGATCCTGCCTTGGGCAAGGGGCAGGACTAAATGACCTCCTGAGATCCCTTCCAACCCTACTTTCCTATGATCTAACGTTTCAAGATGTTCCCCGAAACAGATGAAAGTTGTATTAGAGCATGAAGAAAAATCTGGAAAGAATGTATGGAGTTCCAAGTAAGGATTTTAGCAATAAAAAAAATGCTAACTTTTAAGATGTTAGGAATTTAGAAGACTGTACTGGCAAAAGTTAAATCTGAAATTAAGTTTGCAATGTCTCTTCAGACTCCTACATCAGCATTACATCCAGTCATATATTTGATACAAGTACTCACACAGATCAGTTGCTGGCAATCTTTCTATTGTCTTCTTGATGTGCAGGGTTAATGAATGCCATGATTCTGAATATCCTATATTAATACTCTCACTGTTACAACCACTGGTGGACAGTATACAAAGAATTAGTGTACACAACAGCCAGTAGGTTTCGGTTCTGCTACTCTTTAAAAGAAATATGGCTGGATCAATTTAGATCTAGTACTTTTTCTGACAACCAATCATGAATGATCTGAATTCAAATCAAGTTACTTGAGCTACCAAAATTTAACAAGACAGTTAAAAAGCAGAGAAATCTTCCTTTTTGTTGATTTCGGTACTTCTTGCCATTCTCGATAGGTGTGATTTACTAAATAAGAAATAAAAAAGTCACTGAATCCCTACAGAGACATTATACTCTTTAAACTACCTTAAAAAGCGCAACTCTCCTTCAGCAAGCAAAGCCACATGATAAGTTTTTTTTAGGAGTGGATCTCTCTCTGCTCAGCAGAGCCAATAAGCAGTTTAACTATTAGTATTACCAGATGTGCTGGCTTAGAGAAAGGAGGAGGAAGACAACCCTACT